GTACATACACATACAAATACACATACATGCACATACATATACTGTACATACACATACATACATACCTATACCTATTTTATTTCTCATCAAGAGCAGAAAAGTATTTAGATTCATCATCATTATTATTGTCTAAAATAGACAAATGTTTGTTTGTGTTTGTTCCAGAGAAAGATGCAGGCCTCGCTGCTGCTCGCCGCCATGCTGTTTTATCTTGGCTCCGCCCACATGATTGTTGACGACAGACAGGCCACCAAAACGGCCTTCGTGTCCAACTCTGTGTCTCAGAACCTGGAGATTGACACGCCTCCTGTTGTTATTGTGGGTAAATATGAACCAGTGTACTCCATAGTACATCAGTGTATACTTGTACAAATACAACTGTATACTAGTACAAGTACAACCATCCTCATGTACTTATACTCTTTTTTTCCAGAGTTAGTAAAATCTACAAAGAAGACAGAGAAACCAAAAAAGCAGAAAAAGGTTGGTTTAATGATTTTGGTTATTCAGAGCAGTAATTTAATAAATTTTGACAGAAAATACTTTATAATTAATGCAAAATTATTGAGTTTTACATAATTAAATTCATATTGGTTTCAAAGTGTCAAATCATTTAACAAAAAGTTCTTTCTCTGTGCAGAAAAAAAGCATTTTTATGATTTTTTTTTTAACTTTTTTGGATTCAGAACAGTTTTTGTGAAGAATTAACATCAAAAACCAAATTGTTTGTCATTTTAGTCAAATCCTAACCATGTGCTCCACCTTAAAGTGAAATCAAAAAACAACGTTTTGACTGATTAAAGCCACTGGCTGCGTAAATCCAGGGAGCTGTAGCTGAAAACATGAGTAGAGGCTCAGACTCTGCAGCTGCAGCTCTCAGACGTTTCACCCCGATCAGAGCTGATGATCACTTATCCTTTAAACTCGTAGTTAAAAAGCTGAAACTCCTGACAGGATCAGTGAGCATCTGACGCCAACAGGAAGTACAGTTTGACCTCAGACTGGCTGTAAACTGTGAGGAACGAGCTCTGCTCTCAGAAAATTACAGAAAAGCTCCAACAAACAGAAACTTCATCGTCCTCAGATCCGTCTGAGGCAGTCGACCCGGTCAGGGTTTAGTTCTGCGCTGCTGGTTCTGCTGCTCTTTAGGGATCAGGTCCAAACATAACTGGTTGAGTAATTAAACTACCGACCAGCTGTCTGCTGGGATGTTTGAAGCAGATCTGTTAACCTTTGAAGTCTTGCAGCATTTTATAAACTTTTTAAACTGCCTTATTTTATCATTATTAAATAAACTTAAAACTTCATTAATTAGGAATGATTCATAGTTAATAAACCATAATAAACAGTTATTAATGCTTAATAAAACTTAGAGAGCATTTGAACTACTAATCCTGCAGGGCATTAATATTAAGGCTGTTGGTTAATTTAGTGTTTTTGTGAATCATTTTAAAGTTTTTAAAGTATTTATTAAAGCAAACAAAACCCTGAAGTCTTCCTCTGAACATGAATCCATATCTAACATGATTTTACATACATGGATTCAGTGCAAAGAATCGTTAATTCGTGAGTTTTTAAGCGTAAATTCACAATGAATATATTGGCTTTGGAAGTAATTAGACTTTATGGTTAAATCATTAATAAATGATCCAAAAGAAAAAAATCAGTAGGTCCTCTGGATGGTTCTTCTTTAGTGAAACATTTCGTCTCTCCTCCAAGAGACTTCTTCAGTCTGATGAGTTTCAGGTGAACTCAGCCTTATAAGCACTGACTCCACATGGTGGACAAAGAGGTCAGTCACATGCAAAAGCCTATTGTTAAGTGATGCCCCTCTTTTTC